TTTCTTTGCTTCTTTCTCCATTGTGAAGTCACTTATCGGCTGTTGGTTCATAACTGAACGCCGATACTCGATTGATTTGACGCCGACTACTTGTAATACATCATAAGAAGTGACATGAGCTACTCACAAATCGGCATTTCGCAGAATAGTCAGGCTGTAGGATGCCTCAAGTGTACAAGCTGGCGTAGTCAGCAGTCACAGAGGATATCCCACATTCAGGGCTCGATAGGTTCGCGAATGGTGACAAATGCCAAATTTTTAGCCTTCCTTTTGCCCATTGCTACACTGCTCATAGATCTGCATCGAGTTCAACCGCATTGATTTCATTTCATTTCATTTTTAAGTGAAAACCAGCATTAGCATTTTTCAGGCGATGTTTACAGCTTCGAAAGACTCATTTTCGCTGTCTCAGATGAAGAATTCTTGGCACTACGGCCCCAGTGCTCAAAGTTCTGGTCAAATCTTGGATTTGTCTCGAAATTCGTCTTCAGGAGTAGTTCGATCCTATCAACACGAGTATCACACCTGCATGGGTACAAAGCGAGTTAACTATGGGTGATAGGGGTACATATGGCCGCGCAACCTGATTTTGCTCCCCTGCACTATTCCTACAAGGTAGTGCTCCCTTTGCCTGCCAACCTGAGCCTAGCAAAACTAAGGATCACTATTGCAGGCAGTCAGAAAAAGGTGGTGGTGTAGGCAGTCAGAAAGGGTGCTGCCCCGCGTGCTTCTCAAACTACCCCAACACATTGCTCAGCGCGAAACGGCCTACAGTTGGCGCTATACGTGCGGCGATCAAAATGGGCCTGTCATTCTCTCGCATGTAACACGGGCACTACGCGGTCTTCGGCTCAGCGAACGTCATATTCATGTTCATTGTCAAAGTACCTCCCGAGCAAATCTTTCGCCAAATTTGTCTTCGAACAAAGAAGTTGGCATATTCTTGGTTCCACACAAAAAATATGAAAGCATTGTGAAAATCAGGCACAAGTACGCCAGGAAAGCCGCTCTGACGATAGAGGTTGCCAAACAAGGGTGAGAAAGAAACCGTCAAGAAAATGAATAAAGAGCGAGATTAGGGTGTAACGAAAAAGAAATCAACAATAGGGAGATATTAGGCAGCGTTCAGACTTCGACGGCAGCGCTTCGGTCGCGCGTTCGACGCGATCGATGCAGTCGAAAGCATGCGCATCGATCGCGTCGAACGCGCGACCGAAGCGCTGCCGTCGCGAAGTCTGAACGCTGCCTCATCAAATATTCTTCGCGAAATCCTCCGAGAGCGAGGCGGCTGCTAGATTCAGAGAACTCGCCCAAAATTCCGTTCACTCCTCCAGTTTCAATCTCGCACTTGAAGTCTTATTTGGGACGTTTTCGACGGACTTTTCTTGTTTTTTTTCTTCGTTATCATTCCACATACCATATGATCTCATGATTATGAGCTCAACCAGACCGGAGGCGCTGTTTTCAAGCACGGCACTCCTGTGCTTAAAGACATAACATACGCTCGTGCGTCCTTGGCACTCCGGGGCTAACGAGCCCCCAGCTGTCGAAGCGTAGCGGTTTCCCCATCCAAACATGCGCGGAAATGGGGATCCAGGACCGTGGAAAAGGCTTAATCCTCCATGCTCCGCCTAAAATGCAACTTGCGGCGCAGACATGCTGAACGCCGCTGCAATATCCCGGTCCCGTTTATACTGACCGCCGTCCGCGCGGCGCGTGTCGCGCGCAGCGCTCCTGGCACTTTGCCAAGTCTTGTAATTGCGCTTTCGAATACAATTAAAACGCAAACTCCTGATGGGATAACATATGAGGTTTCGCTCATGCTGCAAAGTCCGAATCGAATATGATGGTCAGAACCAAGTGCAACTCTGCTGCTTCCGCAATCTCCTTCATGCCGCGCATTCCCCAAAAACATGGGAATGAAAACGGCCTAAAGCAGCGTTCATACTTCGCGACAGCAGCGGCGATCGCGGCGACCTCGGCGATCGTGGCGATCGCCGCGATCGTCGGTACAGGTCAGAGCGCGCCCCAACGCTATTACTTGGACCGCTCCGAACACTGCTAGAAAGAATCGGCTTGAATTGCGTGCTTTTTCTTCTTTTAATTGCAATTGTCTCTGGTACGAAAGCTTGTTTTAACTCAAGGGAACGTGGACTGGAACTTGATGGCTTTTATTTTTTTTGAATTCAGGATAGAAATGAGCTGAGAGCGTGGGAGGCTTGGTTTTTATTGTTTCTTTTTCATTCTTCGAGCTTATACATGAAGTTATAAAGTTTTCTCCTGTTGATGTTGCATAAAAGAATTAGTGTTTTGGTTTCCTAGGTGAGTTTCTTTTGTTTCTTTTTTTCGTTGTTTGAACTCGACTTGTAAACTATAAATGTTTTGGAAGTTGGAACAGTTTGGACAGTAGGAAAGTTTTAAGACGCTTATATAAATTGAAACAATGAAAACAAAAGAAACAAAATGAAGCTCACCTAGGTAAATGAAGTTGCCCTTATCCCGATCTGAAAGAAGGTCCCACCTCATATTCCAGATCCCTTATGTACAGAAAGTCGTAAGTTATCAGTTAGTAGCCATTATTAAGAGAAAAAATCTCACAAGTTGGATTTCCTTATTTATCAAGCGAGTCCAAGTAATAGCGTTGGGGCGCGCTCTGCCACGTACCGACCATGCCGCGATCGCCGCGTCGCGAAGTATGAAAGCTACCCAAGCGTGCTACTCGTTGAATCGAAGTCTTTTTATAACTTTGGAGCAGGAATCGCGCCGAATTCCAAAATGCACAGGCTTTCAAAAAAGTTACATTTACTTAAAATTTCTATTCACATTTCATTTACATCTACATTCGTTGCTCTTCAGTTCTAGCCTTTGTCATCTTCATCATCTTCGATTCGGACTTTGCAGCATGAGCAACACCTCAAATGTTATCCGCATCAGGAGTTCGCGTTTTAATTGTATTCGAAAGCGCAAATATTGGGTTGGCACATAAGTAATGGCGTTTTTTTCAATTGAAAATTTTGTTCCAAAAGTGAAATGTTTTGCAAGCAAGCTTGATATCATCTGATAGGAAACTTCTCGTAGTATAAGAATATCAAAACAGCTTCGGTTGAGGGAATAATTTTTGTGAATTTTTTAGTCGTTGAAGTTGAAAGTGAAGTCGGCGAAAATTAGCACCTTCGACAACTGCCTCTATCTACTCGAAGTGCTAAAATCGCTTAAGCTGCTCCATACATTTGGAAAAGGTTGAGCTAGAAGTCTCAGCAAGGGAATCTCAATAGGACGCTTTGGAACTAATTTCAAGAATTTCAAAGTTGGCAACCTTCACCTCGCCGATATTGGGCAGGCTCACGTCTGTTCCACCTGAAATTTTATGCTAATAGTTGAATGTTTCGCTAATGTGTTTTGTATGCTCTGATAGCAAATTTCGTGCTCTATAACAGTGCGGTGCAGTTATTTTGAAAATCCGTTTGATTTCCTTGTTTTTCAGGTTAGATTCCTTCTTCGAGTCGCGGCCACAGGATTTTTACCGAGAAGGCATTGAACAGCTGGCTGATCGGTGGGAGGAGGTTGTAAGAAACAATGGGGAATATATCATTGACTAGTTTATTGTAAATATCTATATTTTTTATAGTGTTGTAAATACTGTGTTTGAAATTTACTAAGGAAAACAAAAAAAATCGTGAGGTATGGGTCGACCGGATGTCTGCAAGGTCAACGTTGTCGGTTGTGCTTTTTTCCAGAATCAATTGTGAGCCGTCCTAATACTAATCTGTTACTCTATGCCTTACTCAAACCATGGCGATTCTATTGAGCTGCTCTAGGAGCTTTGAAGCTTCCGTGGACAGCGGTAGGGAGAGGAAGTCGGGAACGCTAATTCTCATCGACCTCACGTTCCGTAATGATAACCTGAAATTAACAGAAAGTAAACAGCTCTGGAGAACAGATTTCCATGCAGTGTTATAGAGCACGAAATTTGCTATCAGAACATGCAAAACATATCAGCGAAACATTCAACTATTAGCATAAAATTTCAGGTGGAACAGACGTGAGCCTGCCCAATATCGGCGAGGTGAAGGTTGCCAACTTTGAAATTCTTGAAATTAGTTCCAAAGCGTCCTATTGAGATTCCCTTGCTGAGACTTCTAGCTCATAGTTCCAAAGCGTCCTATTGAGATTCCCTTGCTGAGACTTCTAGCTCAACCTTTTCCAAATGTATGGAGCAGCTTAAGCGATTTTAGCACTTCGAGTAGACGTAGAGGCAGTTGTCGAAGGTGCTAATTTTCGCCGACTTCACTTTCAACTTCAACGACTAAAAAATTCACAAAAATTATTCCCTCAACCGAAGCTGTTTTGATATTCTACTACGAGAAGTTTCCTATCAGATGATATCAAGCTTGCTTGCAAAACATTTCACTTTTGTAACAGAATTTTCATCCTATCAGATGATATCAAGATTGCTTGCAAAACATTTCACTTTTGGAACAAAATTTTCAATTGAAAAAAACGCCATTACTTATGTGCCAACCCTATACAAGACTTGATAAAGTGCCACGAGCGCTGCAGGCGACGTGCGTCGCGCGGACAGCGGGCAGTATGAAGATGATCGGGACATTGCAGCGGCGTTCCGCATGTCTGCGCCGCAGTTCCATTTTAGGCGGAGCAGGAGGAATTAGTTTCCCTACGGTCCTGGATCCCCATCCCCGCGCATGTTCGGACGGGGAAACCGCTACGCTTCGACAGCTGGGGGCTCGTTAGCCCCGGACATGCCAAGGACGCACGAGCGTACGTTGTGTCCTTAGCTTAGCTCGTACTTATTTTTACCTATCCTCGGATAGGTAACAATAATCCTCGCCTAATTTTCAATTTTTTTCTTGGAACCACCCTAAGAAAGTGAACTTTTTCTTAGTGCATGGACCCCTATAAATGCATACCCATCTCGTAAAAGCGTTCCATGACCTTAAAGACCCACTCGTAAGGTTGGATCCAGACTGCAGTAAGATGAATCAAGGAAAGATGGCGAATCCTTCAAAAACAAAACAGAAAATATATCATCTGAGAAACTGATTTGCCCCTTAAATTTTTGTCTCAATATACCTTATCAGCGGAGAGTTTCCGAAATTTTCAGAACCCACAGAAACGCAAACAGTAAAAAGGCGTTCAAAAACCAACTTCTGCTGGAAGTGTTTGACGCTGACTCGCCAACTGGAGCGTGCTTCGTCGTCACTGCATAGACCGGTTTCTCCAGTAAGGACCCTGCTCTCTGGTAAGGCGGAGGAGCACCAAGTACTGAACCTGGTATTTGTCCACCGATATGCAACGACTCCATTTGGCTTTTCAGGCTCACTAAAATGAAAGATTGGTCTTAATGTTTTCGTACACTTCTTAGTATTACGTAATTTTTGTTAGAGTATAGAGATGTGAACAGTTAAGTAGAAACTAAAAAAAAGACGGAAATCATCATTTTAAATGCATTTGTTCGCAGACAAAAAGTCATCTTACGTGTTGCAGCTGCACTCTCAACTAAAGTACGGTCCTCAGGGTTGCTTCCACAAGCCAGGAGCGTTCGACCACCCATTTGTCCACCGACCATTGTTGACACTTCAGCCTCTGTGGCTGGAGCATTCTCCAGAAATAAATGAGTTCATGCCTTCTCAATAACTTCTTTGCTACACGACGAACACAAAAAATACTGAAATCCAGAACCGGAAAAGAGTTGGCAAGGCAAAATGGAGGGACTTCACGAATGCTGTGATGACCGCCACTACTGTCAACAGTCATCCCGTCTTCATAACGGGAATCGCCAAATCAGCGAATCACTAACGACAAAAGTTGTATTAATTCTCTTTATACACACCGCCCGTGACTGCAGGTCGTTGATGGTGGGTACAAAATGAAAGCCTACGTGCTCGGCAGGTGAATAGTACAGAAAATTGTAAAAGAGACGCCAAAGAAAGTCCCTTTGGTTTAACGGGTTATCGAGACCGCCACCTTGAATATCCGTTGGCTCACCTCTCCCTCTCCCTCCATTGCCTCTTCCAGCACTGAACGCCTTCTGACTTTTGGAAAAATAGAAAGATTAGCGTATAAACGAAGCTCACAGTACACCGCAGGTTTGGAAAATTTCTTGTGCAACAATGGGATGACAGTGACTACTAATATGTCGAGGCTGCAAGAAGGGAGAAGCTGAAGAATGCAACAACAGACTTACAGCACCGCTGCCCTGTCTCGCCCCAGATGTGAGGCGCCTTGCACGGGTTGCGTACCTTCAACTTATAACAGTCGCAGCGCCCTCGTTACTCACTATAGAGCTGTGAAAGTGATAAAGCTTCTGAGGTTGTGGACCGAATTGCTTGCTAGAAGGAAGGACCATTGAGAACTGGTTGAGCGCTGGTTATCTTCGCTCTATAAGCTTAGAAGACAAGCAGACGGAACGACAGGTGTAAAGTCTGGTCGTGACGTTGTAAAAGATCCACTGTAACTACAAAAAGACCTTTAAATGTAGTTTACTAACCTTGCTGTTGAGGTGGATGTCAGTAGCATCTTTGATGATCGCCTGCAGAACTTCCGGGCCAGGTGCGTGAGCTATGAAGCTATGCTAAAACAAAGAAATACACAATGACGTTCCGAAACAGTATAAGCAAGGTTTGAAAGTTCCCATGCTTAACCACGCGAAACAACGAGTTCGTGAAGCATGGGGCCCGGGCCGCAGTCCCTCTCAGTCCTGGATCAGATACATAACGATCTGCAAACGCTTTGCGACCCCAGCGGAAAACGGCGCTCGATGGCTTGCTGACGGGGTAGGAACTGCAGTGTTTCCTCTAAGGTTTGTGGGGGGGGGGGGTAACAACTTTTTTTCAAATGCGCGGCTTCTGGAAAACAGAAGGGAGCATTTTGAAGCAATAACGTCTGCACCGTTAAGGTTTTTTGCTACCTGTAACCTAGGTTTCTACCTGTTTCAACATTTATAAGAATTGAGTAAGTATTTTGAATGGGTTTTAGACGGGTTAATGGCAAATCGCACGCGAAACTTCACCCTTCGGAAAACAATAACTTCTTTCGTGCACTATTTCTCGTGAAATCTAAGGGACTTTTACAAAGCGCAGCTCATCAGTTTACAAGATATTTCAGATCGGTTTTTGACGGACAAAGTTCTTAGCCATTCGAAAATTCCATTTCTTCCGTGCTGTTAAGGGATACCCGCACGGAAGCTTCAATATGCCTCCAAATACATATTCCCGTTGAATTGAGTGGGTTGGTTATCATCGACGGGGGCGTTAGTTATCATCGACCGATTCCGTTTGAGAGTGCGCCGCGTATTATACTCTCTCAGAAGGGTGGCGGACAAGTGTCACATCTTATGTTAATTATTTGTTTGTCCGTGCGAGCAGATGTTTCTATAGAGGAAAGATCGGTGCGAGCAACTTTCTGTTATTATTTAGTCATCTACATACTAACAAATTTCTGCGGCGCTGGCCTGCTCCATAAAAGTTCGCGAAGACACCTTTGTGCTGTTCAAAATTCACCCTCCCCCTTCAGCGACGACCCCTTGATGGGTTTCGCACTACGATGCTGTAATCTGCACGAGAGAACTCACTTTGTTCTTCCCTACAAAAAGCAAATGAGCAAAACCCTTGGCAGAGCAATGGTGGAATGCATTTAATTCGATTTCGAAGAACGTCGCAGCAACAGCAGGAAGTCAATTCCAACAGGTAATGTAGGCAGTGGGACGGGAACACTATTGGTGATGACAGAAGGTTATCACACTTGGTAAGATCCGATAAGAAGCTGTAGAAGGGGAAAGTCGTCCAATGCATAGTACGGGTCGCTGCAATAGTGAAGTCATTCCGAACGATAGTGTAAGCAGTGGGACGGGAACACTATTGATGGGTGACAGAAGGTCATCACACTTGCGAAGACCCGATAAGAAGCTGTAGAGGAGGAAAGTCGTCCAATGCATAGTACGGGTCGCTGCAATAGTGAAGTCATTCCGAACGGATATTGTAAGCAGTGGGACGGGAACACCGATGGGTGACAGAAGGTCATCACATTTGATAATATCCGATAAGAAGCTGTAGAAGGGGAAAGTCGTCCAATGCATAGTACGGGTCGCTGCAATAGTATGACGTCAGTTCCAACAGTTAATGTACAGTGGGACGGGAACACTATTGGTGGGTGGCAGAGGGCTATCACACTTGCGAAGACCCGATAAGAAGCTGTAGAAGAGGAAAGTCGTCAATGCATAGTACGGGTCGCTGCAATAGTGAAGTCATTCCGAACGGATATTGTAAGCAGTGGGACGGGAACACTATTGATGGGTGACAGAAGGTCATCACACTTGATAAGACCCGATAAGAAGCTGTAGAAGGGGAAAGTCGTCCAATGCATAGTACGGGTCGCTGCAATAGTGAAGTCATTCCGAGATAGTGTAAGCAGTGGGACGGGAACACTATTGATGGGTGACAGAAGGTCATCACACTTGATAATATCCGATAAGAAGCTGTAGAAGGGGAAAGTCGTCCAATGCATAGTACGGGTCGCTGCAATAGTATGACGTCAGTTCCAACAGTTAATGTAGGCAGTGGGACGGGAACACTATTGGTGGGTGACAGAAGGCATCACACTTGATAATATCCGATAAGAAGCTGTAGAAGAAGGGAAAGTCGTCCAGTACACACAGCACAGCACAGTACATAGCACGGGTCGCTGCAATAGTAGGACGTCAGTTCCAACAGTTAAAGACACAGTACGCTCACACACATTGAGGGTGTATGTGACTAGCAGCCCCCCAGCTGTCGAAGCATAGCGGTTTCCCCGTTCAAACATGCGCAGGAATGGAGATACAGGACCGTGAAACACGCTAGTTCGTCCATGCTCCGCCCAATGCCTTTTTGCGGCGCAGATTCCCGTCCTTCATAACATCCGTCGTAAGCGCGCGTGTCGCGTGCGGCTCCTTGGCACTTTGCCAAGTCCTTTAATTGCGCTTTCAAATACAAGTAAAACGCAATTTCCTGATGCGGATAACATTGGAGGTGCTGCAAAATAAGAACAGAAGATGATGACGAGGGTCAGAACTTAAAAGCAACTGTGCCACTTCTGCAACATCCCTCGGAGGCCGCGTATTTCCACGAAACATGAAAATAAAAACGGCATACTCGTTAGTTTAATACAAGCAAAACGCAATTTCCTGATGCGAATAAAATTTTAGGTGTTGCTCATGCTTCAAAATCCATGTACAAGGAGATGAAGATGACACAGGCTAGAAATGAAGCACAACGATGTAAATGTAAATAAAACAAAAATGAAAAAATCAAGGAAAGGCAAATTAGATAAATTGCCCTGTAAATTTCTACGACCATTTAGAATGGTCTTTTTTCCGGCGCCAACGCCATAGAAAACTTAGAACAAACGAGTGGGACGCTTGGGCTGTATGAAGGACGGGAATCTGCGCCGCAAAAAGGTGTAAGGCGGAGCATGGAGGAACTAGCGTGTTTCACGGTCCTGTATCTCCATTCCTGGGCATGTTTGGGCGGGGGACCACGACACATCGACAGCTGGGGGGCTGATAGTCTCATACACCCTCAATGTGTTTGAGCGTACCATGTGTCTTTAATGTAGGCAGAGGGACGGGAACACTATTGGTGGTGACAGAAGGTCATCACACTTGATAATATCCAATAAAAGTAGAAGGGGAAAGTAGTCCAATGCATAGCACCGGGTCGTAGCAATAGTAGGAAGTCAGTTCCCAACAGGTAATGTAGGCAGTGGGACGGGAACACTATTGGTGGGTGACAGAAGGTCATCACACTTGATAATATCCAATAAAAAACTGGAGAAGGGGAAAGTAGTCCAACGGGTCGTAGCAATAGTAGGACGTCAGTTCCAACAGTTAATGTAGGCAGTGGGACGGGAACACTATTGATGATGACAGAAAGTTATCACAGTTGATAAGATCCGATAAGAGGGTGTAGAAGGGGAAAGTCGTTTAACACATTGAACGCCGCGGCGTTTTTGCGGCGACTCCCGTTTTCACTTCCTGCGTCTCCGCGCGCGTGAATTGCGTGCAATACACAAACGCGCGAAACGGGAGTCTTTGTGCCGCATGCCCCTTTACACGCTCATTCTGGTTACTTTTGCGCTCATTTCTACATTGTTCATTATGAATGATGACTTCTTTTAGCTGCATAGATGGATCTGGACAACGTAGAAGATCTAAACGTCAGTTTTGACGACATAAGTATTGTTATCATAATCAATTAAACACTATCAAACGTATTGTAAATTAACACTTATTATCACTAGAAGTCTTACTACCATTGTAGTGATGCGGAGCTATCATAAGAAGTGCAATTACCGACCGCGCCACTGACTGTATTTTGTAATATTAATGAATTACTTCAATGAGCAGCTTCTTTCGCGCCATCAAGAACTAAGCATAAGCAAAGCTCACTGAACATATACTCGGTGAGAATGGTTCAAGTCGCACTCATACCCACGAAAAAACCGACCCACAAAACGTGAATTGTGGGCAATACACAAACGCGAGAAACGGGAGTATGCGCGTGTATTGCCGACAATTTACACGGCGTTTAA